AATTAATCACATAATATTGTCATTTGCTTTAATTATACACATTAGTCTTAACTAGAAAATGCCTAGAATTTTACTGGCTTATTGTGACGAATGTATATAATTAATGAGATAATATATTTTAGTTAATTCAAAATTCGAATCTAAAATGTCTAATTAGAACTAACTATTACACAATTTTCATTTCTTTTGCACAACTTACTAAAATTATGCATAATGACAAATATTTTGGGTAATTTATGATGGACGTTTGCACGCGAATTCATGATCTTTTTGTCAAATTAGATATTTTATGTATATATTTTTTAAAATTAATCTAATATTATTTGTTGATATTCATGCCACAAAAAGATTAAATGATGCACTAGTTGAATGTTTAATTAGTTATTTAACTAGAGGAATAAGATTAATTGTATTTTCATTTTTCTCCTTTTTAGTGGTGCACAAATGTTATAGAAGTCCTAAATTCATTTTCGCTAAGTTGATGAAACAGTTGATCTCTGAAATACAATTTAAATTCAAATTCTTTTGAATGATTTCTCAATCAATCTCGTCACATGAAACTTGCTTAATGCAATTTCATCTCTCTTACGTGATTTGTAATAACACTTAAAATTCAATTTACTTTGTGCACATATGAAGAGTAGTGATTGTGAATTCTTTCGTCGACAACAACTACGAAAAAAAAGGAGCACTTACGTGAGCAATAAATTAACATCAAATTTAGGAAGGCTAGTCAAACAAAACTACTACAATTAACATCGTTTAATTGCTGTTTAAGTTTACGTTAAAACTTTCACAGCTCTAAATAATTAAACCAAGCATTAATCACAATGAGCTAAAGTAAACGTTCTTTCCATTAATATTGTTTCCTTATTAATCCATTTAATTAATAAAGTTGCTATACTTTTATAATTGGAAATACTAAATTTCCAAGTCTCAATAAAATTTTATTCACTTTTTTCACATTTGTTGTTTGTCATTTTAAACGTACTTTAATTTCTTTTATAAAGTCTGGTTTGTTTGGTTGTTTTCCTAGTTTTTTTTCCTAGGCTTACTTTATTATTTATTATCCTAATCTTCTTCGTAGGCTTACTATTATTTCATTTCATTATATTAATTAATTTTGTTACTTGAGGACTAATTCTTGTTGACTATGTTTTTTTAATTTTAATTTTTATTATAACACACATATTTATTATATTAAGTTTTAAATACAAATGTTAAAAATCTTATAGCTACATTAATTCTATCACATGTTAAGTCTTCGTAAAATTTCATGGCAATTCAAACTAAATAACTATTTATCTGCATCGAACATTTATATCAATTTAATAAATTCAAATTCAAGCATTATTATAAACAGATTGTCTATAAAAAGTACCCCTAATAAAATGCAATCTGTCATTTTTAACAATATATCAGTATAGTCCTATAAAATAATTTGTGATGGATAAACTGTAAGTAGACCTTCTCCTTACTTAGAAATGTTATTTTCGATAAAATAGTTCCAAAAAAGTAACAAAAAAAAAAACTGTAATTTTAAAGTTTAAACAATAAATATATACATTAACAAAAACAAACTTTGATTATTATTATATACTCTCATGAAATCAATTCCATGATAACCATAAAAAAACAACAAAAGATAAAAATAAAAAATAAAACACTGCCTTTCTATCTAACAAACCTCTCAGTAATTCAATGTACCAAGACTTTTTTTTTATTTTTAAAATAAACAAACTATTTTTTATTTTTTATGTTTAATTTATTTATTTTCCACTAAGCAGAAATAAAAATTATTATAGTAAATAAAATTGACACAAAAACAGCTGAAGTTGTAGTAAATGCTTTTACTGCCGAGTTGTTTGAGCCGGTAGGTGCCGCAATATCCGCCGGCGGACTGTTTCCGCCGCCTCCTGGCGGTGAATCCACCGGCGATCCCGGCGTACTCGATGAACTTGGAGACGATGATGATGAACCACCCGACGGAGATGGTGAAATTATCTCCCCTGATGGCGACGAAGAAGGCGATGTACTAGATGTTGCCGGGGAAGTCGCCGGAGATGTTGATGGGGATGCTGCCGGGGAAGTCGCCGGAGATGTTGATGGGGATGCTGCCGGTGAAGTCGCCGGAGATGTTGATGGGGATGCTGCCGGTGAAGTCGCCGGAGATGTTGACGGGGATGCTGCCGGTGAAGTCGCCGGAGATGTTGCGGGTGATGAAGTAGGTGTTTGACTCACAGGAGATGTTGCGGGTGATACCGACGGAGAAGTCGCCGGAGATTCTCCCGGAGTTGAAGGAGGAGGAGGTCTAATGGCTAAAACTACAGTAATTAATTTTTGTGATCCATTTTCACAATCATTTTTATTTCCACTAATGAAAAAAAATGGACCAGAATGATCAAATTTGAAAATTGAATTGCCATCATCCATTTTCATAATTGGATTATTTGTGTTGCATTTGTCATAATCATCTTTGTTTACCACTAATACTGAGTTTGATCCCTTCATGTACTTGAACACTAATCACACACAAAAAAACAAAACATAAAACACAATCAATAACAAATAAGGTTAGGTATCATATAACAATCACTACTAGATATACATGAATTTTCGATCATCCTACTCTTATCATCGATATTAGATAAATTTCAAATTTTCAATGAAAAGTCAAATTTCTTGTTTTTGTTTAAAAAAAAAAAAAAACATTAGATCCCAATTTTTCGATAAAAAGACAAATTTCTGAAGGCGTTTTGGTGGAAACCTCCAAAGGGACATTTTCATCGAATGATTTCAGAGATCCTTGACTTTTTTTATCAATAATTTCATTGAAATATATATATGTTTTCATTAGTGAGTATGATTACGTTTTTAAAATGAGATGATCGTATAATTTAAAACAGAAGAATAGTACTTACCAAGAGTGTCATTGACTTGAAATCTCATTCTTTCAGCCCAATTGTTGTAATTTTCAGATGGATTAGGAACCCAACCAGCTTTACCACCAACATAGAATTGATAAGCATAACAAGAGTTGATCAAACAAGCCAAGAGAATCACTATAAGATGTTTATGCAAAGCCATGAGTAATTATAACAATTTTAAAAAAATTATATGTTTTTTGTGATATAAGTAAATTTATATAAATACACAAAAAGAGGAGAAGAAAAAGAAAAAAAAGAAAAGTAGGAAACTTCAAGAAAGAATACAAAAAAAAAAAAAAAGATAATTAAATGGAGGAAATTAAGTGGAAGTTTTATAGACTGATGTTGAAGTTTAAGAATGAAAATAGAGTTATATATTAGTCTACAATTTGGTTGTGGCGTGGGGGTGGGGTGGGGTGTTGAAGAGGATGGGAAATAATTTTTGAAAAATGAGTTTATTGAAAAAAAACAAACAAAAAAAGTGGGAAAAATGCGTTCGATTATAAGGAGAGATTGAGTTTATCATGTGGTGATTGTGATTCTTTCACTTTATATTATAAGTTTCGTGTTTAAGCGTCTGAGAATGAAAAAAGATCTTATTGAGCATGTTGTTCCTAAATATTGGTCCTGCGGTGCACAAACCCAAATTTAATCCACTCTTAATACAGATATCAAACCGCTAATGAAAAAAAAAACTATTAAAAGAGGAAAAAACAAGACAAAAGTGTGAATGGACTATTATATAGTATTTTACACGTGGAGAAAGGTTAAGGACATAACGGTAAGTGTATTTAATTAATTAAATGGACTTAATGTTTAAGAAAAGAGACAACAATTTAAAAAGAAAAAAAAATGTTTGGTGACAAAAATTAATTGGGAAAATGTGTTTAATGAGAGAAAAAAAGGGACAAAATTGTAGTTGAAAAAAGGTTTAGGACGTAACGGTTAGTGTGTTTAATTAATTAAATGCAACGTATTGCTTTTTTAGGCCATAATTTAATTTAATTTTTATTTTAAAAAGTTAGACAAATGTGTTCTTAGGATATTTTTCTGAATGAATATAATATTTTTTTCCATATATTATTCAATCTTATTGACAAAATATAGGTCTAGACTTTCAATTTGTTCAAATAACTTGCATATTTTAGACTATCATTTAACGTTTTTTAGTATGATTTTCGATTTTCTTTAAATGGATATTTAGATCATTATCTAAAAGAGTCATAAGTTTAAACATAAATAAAAAGATTGTCATTTACTAAATAACTAGCTTAAAAAAGAGACAATCGATAAATATTTTTATGAGATACTGCATTTAAATCTTGCTATTTAAACTATACCCATTCTATTACGCATCTACCCATTTAGTAACAATCTCATATACGGTGTATGAAGTTAGGCATACGTGTATGTATAGAATTCAGCCACATAAATATGCATTTAATCACGACTGAAGTTCAGACAAAAATATTGATCTTTAGCATTATGTGCTCAAACTTTCAACCATTTGAAACTTCAAATTAAGCTTTTATCAGATATAGTTGTTAATACGTCTGATTTCTCAAGTTATTCTATTGTGAATGTATTTACAAACTTTTACACACTACATATATGACTTTAATAGTGATCCCAAAATCATATATCCCCGAATATACTTTTTAAGTTTCTTTCAGTTGGCCCAATAGGTAGAGATTAGTGATGCAAAAGTACCTATCATCCTCAATGAATTATTTTAGTGATATTAGAAATGATGCACTATCTATTCTTTATTTCATTTAGGAGAATATTATTGATACGGATAGAGTCAAATAATCTTTTCTTTGTGAGCAATCAATAATAGAATTGCTCCCCAAGGTGACCAATATTCTCCACGCTATGATTTTAGACACAATAACTTTACAAGAAGCGTTACTAAAAAAGTATCTGACATAGACGATATTATTGCAAATCAAAAAGAAAAGAACAAGAAGCAGTATGATAAATTGATTTCGCGTTCCCTTTACTTTATCATGGTATCAATGAGAAAAAACATAATTATAATACGGTAATTCTGATGGGTGGAGTGATGATCAATTTATAAAGATTTTAATCACAGACAAATTTTATTAATTATCAATTGTTTTATTGGGCCGCATAATATAAGCCCATTAGTGGCCCAATATGCTTAAGCTAAAAGTTCATTTTCTCTATTGCTCTTTGTTGAGTCTTCCATTTTTTCCCATTTGGTCAATAATGTTAGTAGCAATAAGCCCAAAGCTTGGCAGGCTAGACCACATATTGAGCCCATCCATAAACCCTGCAATCATATATTAAAATTTTAAATACAAAAATAATATTTCAATCAATCAACTACAACTCAATTCTTAATTCGTTGCGATTAAATGATATTGAAATTCATAAGTAATAAATTAAAGCACCTAAGTGTTTGTGTAGACAAATCATATAATATGAGAAGAGATCTACATTCGATGGTTTCAATTGAACTCAGTATTTGCTCTCAATATGTGTTATCAAAAATATCTCAACCGGAGTTTGTGGCGTAATGCCTGATTATATTAAGAGATCTCTTAAACCAATTTTATAAAAATTATATAATAATGAAACACGAAAGAACTTTGCCTTCTGAGTTATGTATGATTCAGAAACGTGACAAACACATATAGCTAATTTTGAGAAAATTAAGTGAAATCAAATTGTAAAATCGTTAGAAATATGAAAAAGAAATGAATGTATATAGAGGTGGAGAAAATAGAATTGAAAAAATAATAATAAAATTCTGAATTCATCTCTGGACGAAAAACAAAACATACCAACATGGCATGCATTTGGATTACCTGAGCATGTAGGTTGAACTTAAAAGCAAGGAGCCAAGATATTGGCATGCCAATAAAATAGAATGTTGCCAAGTTGATGAACATAACCAAATGTTGCCATCCACATCCCCTAGCCACCCCTGATAATCAATTCAATTACATTTTCTCTTTAGATACATAAACAAATACTTAAATTTAGTCTCAGTTGACATGTAAATACTCTAATTTTGAGTAGGCACATAGTCTAGATATCTCAACTTGTCTTTCACTGTGTCAGTTGAACACTCCAACTTACAAAATGATCATCTAGACACCTCCAAAAGTTATATGTGTACATAAGTATAGGGTGTCCGCGAGACATAAGAGGGCCGAGTTGGAGTGTTTAGTTGTCAGTTGAGACCAATGAGCTATCCAGATGTGCACTCTCAAAATTGGAGTGGTTACTTGCTAACCAAGGTCAAGTTTAAATGTGTGTTCAGAATGCACAAGTATAATATTTTCTTTAACTGTATATGAAATTTAAGAACCTGACCTGATAAAATTCCTTGAAAGAAATCCAATACAAATGAGATTAAGAGAAGTGGCATCATGGTGGCAAATTCTTTTATTATTTCTGTACTATCACTAAAGAAGCCAGCCCATGCACTATGACCAAAAAATAGAGCCAAATCAACAACAAGAGCAAGAAGAACACATAGCTTGAGAGTAACAACCATAGCATGCTTAGCTTTGTCAATATTTCCACTTCCTAACTCATTTGCCACCCTAGTGCTGCACATATTATACAATAATTATACATAGCATATTAGTTCAAATTTGTAAAATAACATTAATAAAGATCAAGATTATCTATAATACTCCATAAAGTATATATTATAGATAATAAAGTAAAAATTTAATCATTCATAAAAGAAATTGAGTCTCGAGAAATAATGAGGTCTGGTCGATATATAAAACCTATCGTTTTTTGGTCTAGTATAGACACGTGTATACACATGATATACTTTATACACGTGACTGCCTATACTAGACCATATGTATGCACGTGATCCTTAAGCAACCCACTTATGACCACTGCACCAATTCACTACTTATTACATGAGTGTTCATTCTTTAATTTTATCGCATTACTTCAAATTTCTATATAAATATAATTAGTTCGATACGAGATTAATGGGTGCTTGAGCACCCAGAAAGGTCAACATAGCTCCGCCACTGTTAGGAGGGGGCGGGGCGGGAAAATAATAAAACTCTCACATAATTTAAGTTGTTGAAACTCATACACCACAAATATGTGTAGTACATTACCTTGCAGCTGCACTCAGACCATAAGACACCATGAAAGCAACAGCTTCGGTATTTACACTGAAAAGTCACAATCCAAAAGTTAGTGTCCGAATTTTGGATTCAATTACTTCCTTGGTCTCAAATTATCTGATACTTTTCGGATTTCAAGATTCAAACAAGTCTATCTTTAATCGTAAATTTTTTATACATCTTTTAAATATTTTGAATTGTCAATTATTGTGACTTATACTTTTATAAATATATAAATTTCATTTCAAAAAATTTGAAGATTCCATGCGTAAATTGTCGGTCAAACTTAAACTATTTAACTCTAAAAAAATAATAAGTGTCACATAAATTGAGACAAAGAAAGTAAAAAAGTGAAAATCAGGTGATTTATATAGCAGCAACAACAACAACAACAACAATAACAACAATATATGTCGTGTAATGTTATAACTTATAAGTGAGGTCTAAAAAGGTAATGTGTACATAGACAAGGGCAAATTTAAAGAAGGGTAGAGTGTTCACTCGAACCCCTTTTATATTGTATATATGAGGTAAAACTTTTATTTTTTTATTGATGTATAAAGATATTGAATCTCTTGAACGTAAGAATAGAGGTTGGTTTTGTGATTCAAGGGTTTAAAATTCACCTTGAGTTTTCAAAATCAATTATCTTAGGTACTACATTTTTATTGCAGGTGCTACACTGCTTTTCATATCTACTTTCTTCTTCTTTTACTTGAGTTTGATGTACTTGCGCCGAAAGTTTTTCTGAAAATAACCACTCTACCTCCATGAGATAGCGATAAGGTCTACGTACGTACACCCTACCCTCTCTGGACTCCACTTAGTCGGATTTCACTAAGTATGTTATTGTTATTGTTGAAACGGGTCCCAAATTTGATGTTTATGGATTCTCAAAGATTTCAAATATATATATACTTTTTATTATAAGTGTCCGATGGGAATTAAACCCTTGTAAAGGAGCGCAACAAAGCTTAAGAAGTAGTACTGGACCAAAAGTTTACTTTGTTATTGAGTTCCCAACACATATATAAATACTAGGTCTGTGTAAGTATTATTGGGTTCACCTTGGAACCCGTATCCAAACCCCTAAATTCGCCCCTTCTCTTATCTAGTGAAAATAGAGAGGCGATTTCGAAAGACGTTCAGCTTAAGTAAACCAATTCAAAACAAATTTGAAAAGAAAATATGTATCAAGAAACACAAGAGCATAATTACCTCATTGCAATTAGTGAAGTAGTTGTTTCTGAGTTTGGCATCAAACCAGCAGATAACACAAAAAACTCATGATCCCAATATTCCAAACTGCATGTATACATCAAATCAAAAGAACATAGGATCAAGTCAAACCCTTGACCTGTCTAAATTATTATATAATTCATATCTCGTCCGTTTGGTAAAAAAAAGAAAAAGAGAAAAATCAAATAGTCAACTAATTTGATAGTAGACATTTAGATCACTACAATACACGAACTCTAATAAAAGGAAAGGATTGTGTTAGAAGCATTTCCAATATAATAAAGTACATTATATTTTATAATACAAGCTTATAATATAAGGATTGACCACTTACATTATATCCTCGAAGACGTACCATATAAATAGACCACATATTATATAACAAAATTAACATATATGAGATTACTTACCATATCATGGCAGCAGAGGGCAAAGACAACTTCAAGTTTGTAAAGATATGATGAAACGACACGAAAGAGAGACCTTCCCTCCAGATTTGACTGAATTTCTTCTTCGAACAAAAAACGTATACCACCAACATGATGACTGAAATCCAAATCGAAATCGAAGCTGCTAATGGTGCTCCTTTAAAACCAAGACTTGTCCAATAAACAAGGCAATAGGTAATGCCAATGTGTAAAACTAAAGATACCATTGAACACACAACAAGAGGCATGACAATTGATTGTGATTGAAGAAATACTAAAAAGTTTTGCAAGAAACCATATGCAAATAATCCAGGTATGAGGAATTTCAAGAACACCCCAGCTTCTTTTGCTATGTCAGGATCTTGATGAAGTAAAATGAGAATTTTATCAGAATACCACCAACTAATAGCAATTATCGTAGAAAATATGAATGATATGATGCATGATATTTGAAGATGTATCCCCAACATCTTGTACATTTTAGCTCCATATCCTTGGCCACATAATGTCTCAAGTCCACCACTAATGCCAACCTATGTATCAAGATAAACAAAACAATTGAAGTAACAATTAATAGTTAAATTAAAGAACAACATCTATCTATATATAATAGGAGAAGAAAAAGTGCCACATGTCAACACCACAAAAAATGGGTTTTAAAATAATTATAAATTATTATTTTATATGTAATAGAATTAAATAATAAATTACTAATATTATTTATTTTTAAAAAAATGAAAATAAGAATAATTATTAATTCACTAAAAAGCAGTTTTTACCACTTATAAAAAAAATAAAAATTACAGTTACTTTAATTTTTTTACTGTTTTTCAAAATTTAAATAAAAATTAGAATTGTAAAATTTGAGTGTAATTTGTTAATTTTAAAATTCAAAAAAAATAAAATCAACACGTTATTCATTTCAGAATTTTCAGGAATAAGTTGGCATCAATTTGGAAAATTAATATAAAATCTGAAATTGTAAATAATAATAATAATAATAATAATAATAATAATAATAATAATAATAATACTAATTTATTATTATTATTATTAAATCAACTTAAAATCGGAAAATAAAAATTACAAACAGAAAAGGAAAAAAAAAAACCGAAAACACGGGATTTTAGTTGAAATTTTTTTTTTAAACAAAACATAACTTCCCACGTTACTGTTACTAAAAGGGAAAAAGAATACGTATTTTGGACCAAATCAAACTTTTACCACTTAAAGAATTAAATTAAAATTTAGCATTATTTATTTTTAAAAAAAAGAGATAACTACCAAAAAAACAAATATTTATAATATATATATATTATATTATTAATTATTTATCTATCTTTTAAGGAAATATGCAAAATTTATGATATTAATTTAAAATCTGAAAAAAAAATTTGTTAACACTCAAAATAGATACGATTTTTCAAAAACAATTAATACAATATAAAATAAAATAAAAAATTACGTAACTCCATCTTTGGTTTCCTTTTGTCACTTCATTTTTTATTTTTTTCTGAAAATGATAGTTATCCAAATCAATATCCAAACGGATAAGTTTTTGAAATTTGAGTGATTAATTTTAATTTTAAATTTTAAAAGATAAATAACTAATTTTATTCCTACAAAATAGGTAACCGCATAACACACATTTAAATAACAAAAATCATTCTTAACCACACCATTTACATCTTCCCAAAAACTGTACTCATTTCAGAATTCTTATTCTCTTAAGCATGGTAACATTTTTTGCTTTTCAAGTTTGCTTTTATGATTAGTTCATGAGTATGAAGAGAAGATCATTTGGTTTAGAAGAGTTCAGAAATAGATTGATATTTCTTTTAAGATAAGTTCATAGTTTTTCATATCAATGAAAATGAGTATGTTTAATTTTGTTTAAGATAAGAAAGGAGTATGTGTTACGTTATACTATTAATCAATAGGCTTATTTAAATTTTGAAAGGAATTATGTTTAGCTTTTGTTTTATTGCAGGTATGTTGTCGGTTGATATAGATACTACTCTACTTCTTAGATCCATGATATAATAACATGAATTGATCTGAATTTTGAAATATATACAATATGTATATATTACATAGAAATATGACTTTGTTCTCTTTCTCTGTTTTTTTGCAGGGAAAATAATTTGCAAGAAAGTGATAATTTTTTGTATAGTTTAAACTACCAAGCAAGATAAGATAAGAAAACACTATGTTAGGAGCCTCTGGATGATATTGCAAGTTGTTACTATGAATAAAGGTAGAGGAGTGGCGGCATTACTCATTAGTCGAGGGCCTTCATGGGTTTGTCCCAATCTCATATATATCAATGGTTGACAATCAATTTCACTCTATAACAATTACCATCTCAATCTGAAAAGAGGTAAAAATCTAAATATATTAACAACAATAATAACATACTTTGCAATGATTCAAAATTATTTTTAAAATAAATGAATTTTTAAATACAAGACCTGTTTTTGTGAAATTATATCAAAATATTTCTAACTACACATCATCGTTCCATGTCGGAGTCCTAAAACCTGAAACCATAAATCAATGTATGTTTAGGATTTCTCTACTTTCTTTTTATTTTTGGAATTTATAAAAAAATTATATCAACTATTTAAACTATAAAATAAATTTATTATATTTATATAATTTCTACATACAAACAATTGCTAAAAATTTCAAAATATGAAAATCGGAATAACTGAAAATTGTGCCATACTTTTCTACTTATAGTTATTTTTATTTGATACTTCTTTTTTCTTTTAAAAATTTCATAAAGTCGAAGTATTTTAAGTTGTAAATCGAAAATCCAGAAACGAAATTTAACAAATGAAAATAAAACACTTACGATACCACTAAAAAATTAAATTCCACTTTTTAAAACTCTATTTTATATCAAAAGAGAAATTACTTTTTTATAACTATTGCAAGGTCAATTTTATCCCCGAGAAGGGTTAAATTGATTTATTTATCTTTAAACGAGATATATTTTTAATGTTATTCAGTTAGTTACTTTTATTTTTATTAATTATGTCAATTTATAATCTGTGTAAATACAATTATTTTTAAAAAAGTATACGAATTTTGATAGTAGATTTAAATGATAAAAAAAAAAATCCTACAATCTAATGGTAGTTTAAAATAAACGAAAATTTTACTAGAAAAAAATTAACTATCTATCTATATATAAAAGGAGAAGAAAAAGTGCCACATGTCAACACCACACTAAATCATATTTTTTTTAAATAAAAATTAATTATGTGTATGTATTTATTTTTAAAAAAACTCTAACGTTGTGGTCCTTTTTTTGTGGAAATGTATTATTTAAATTTTAACCATCTTCCACAATCTCCTGATTTAAAGAAAAACAAAAATGTAGATAATAATAATAATAATAATAATAATATAATAATAATAATAATAATAATAATAATAATCTATGTATAGATATATAATTAATAATCTGTATATTATAAAATCAGAAAAAAACTTACCACAAAAGAGAATTAAATTAAAATCTAACAATGTAAAAATAAAAATATTTTTTTAAATAAACCCGTAAAAAACATAAGTCATCAAATATTGAAAATAAAAACTTATAAATAAAAATAATTGTTATATATTTTTAACACGTTTTGGACTCTTAAATTTTTTATAAATGTTTATTGTCAGTGTTGACACCCAATTTTGACCCTCCCCGATAATAATTAATTTCTGAGTTTCTTAATTTTCAAATGATTTAAAATAATTGGCTTTATAAAATTCAAAATATTTTTCAAGTTAGTTTTAAATGGTTTGTCACTTTTTATAATTTTTAAATAATATGTGTATACTTTTGAACTTTATAAATATTCAAAAATCGTCTCACAATATTTTGTTTAATTAAATATTTGGTTAGTTTGTTTAGTTATTTAATAGTTTACAATTTTGAGTTCATTAGTTAGTTTATAATTAAGTTAGTTATTATATAGTTATGTGTCTAATTAGTATATTTTATGAATATTCGAAAATTGTCTCAAAAAGATTTTAGCTTTATTTAAACATTTGATTATTTAGTCGTTTATATTGTTAAGTTAATTAGTTTATAATTAAGTTAATTATTTTATTTCGTTAAAATTAAAGAGCTCATGAATTAATTATATTAATCCGTACTTTTTGAACTCTAGCCGATCTTATTGTTACATCTTTAATCTTCAGTTGGTTTTAATTTAGATTGGTATGGCCAATTTAAAGTCAATTCTATCTTGATGAATTTTTAAAGACCAACTTTGGGCCAGATTCAGCCCCTTTCCAGCAACCCATTTCTCCTCAAACCCAATTCCTCAATTCCCTTTTTTTTCCAATTCATACGTACAGCAACTCCAAAATAATACAACATTCAATTACTCCCAGCCCACCCTTAATTAACCGACCCGACCCAGCCCATAAAACAAAAGAAAAACCCATTCATACAATACAATACATTTAACAGACCCATACACACATACAGTACCAGCCGACCCCACTCCCAGCGTCTTCCCCAAACTTGAGCAGAAACTCCAGACGCAAACCCAGCGAAACCATGACCCTGTACGCGCCCCATCTTCTCCAACGCGTGAGCGACGCGAGCAACGGCTCCAAGCGACGTCAACTTTCCGTCAAATACACGGAAAGCAATAGAGGCGTGAGCGAGCCAGTCCTAGTACACTGCTCATTTTGTCGTCTTCCTTATTTTCCCTCTGCAGCAACGCGATTCAGAGTAGCAGGGCGACGTGCTTTCGTCCTTGTGGCCTCGAGATAGAGCCACGTTGCTCGCCAAGGACACGGGAATCGATCCCAACCGTCCTTCTACCCTTTCCTCTTCCGGAAATGGCAAAATTTCGGAAAAAGGGTGTCTCCCCTTAATGGTGAAAGAAGTTTTTGGGTTTTGAAATTTTCGGATGGGCTTTGGACCCAGATTTTTCATTCACTTTCCCTCTGTTTTGCCCTAATTCCCCTGTTATATATACCCTCTGGTTGTTCACTGTAGGGGGGGGATTTTTGAAAAAAAAAAAGGGGTAGGAAAAGGGTTGGATTTTTATTAGGCAAAATACTAAGGAGAGTTCGAGGAGAAATATTTTGAATATACAATACACCTCGAAAATAGAGGGACAATAGTTTCAGTTTTGGGTTCATTTTTTCTTTTCTGCCCAGATTCCTTAAATCATTGTTCGGGCTCAATTTGGGTGGTGGAAGCCCATCGCCTCCTGCTCGTTCGTCCCAGATTTGCTGCTCCGAAAGAGGTAAAATCTTTTCTAAGCTTTGTTCTGTTCAATTCCTAGTTACTCTATGTGTGCTGTTTTAGATATTCTTAATCATGTTTTGGTCATTACATGTTAACATTGTTTATATTAATGATAGAGATTTCCTTTGTTCTTTCTTGAGGTTTTGCTACTGTTGTTATTAAAATGCAATAGAGCTCTCAGTTTATTTCCCTGTTTTCCCATGAAGTTTCCCTCTGTGGTGTAAATGTTGACTATTTCTAATCTATATATCCATTTGTCTG